GCGGTAGGTGCTTTGGGCACGGTCGTCGATGGTACGCGCGAGCTGGCAGACGAACGCGAGAAGCGTGCGGGGGCATCGAGCATGGGCAGCAACCGCAGAGGTGGCTGGGACGCGATAGCAGAGCGCGCGCATGGGCGCGCGAGTGGAGTACCAACGCGGGCGGAGACCTAAGCCTCGCAGGCTTAGGAATGCTAGACACGCACGCGCGAAGGGAAGGCGGCGGATGCCGGGCACGAGAGATGACGAGCGCGTGCGGGGCGGATGAACGAAGCCTAGTCCACGTGGGACTAGGCGAGGCGGAGGCGGTAGGCGCATGCGTGCGGGACAAGGCGCGCGATGCCTCGAGTGCCAAGGAATAGGAGAGCGGACGGGCGGTGCACGTTTGGGCGGCGCGCAAGAGGCGGTTCGTGTGAGGTGGCTAGGGGTATTTATGCGTATAACTTGAGCTTCAAGTAAATTGGAGTGCAAGTCAAGTATTTTTAGTTATAGTAATATTAGGATTTTATTGCTTTCTAGTATTATGATTTCTATTATTGCAAGATTTAGGAGATCTAGTTTCATTAGGCTTAGATTTAATTCTGCACCTATAAATACCCATGTACCTCTTCATTATTGAACATGTTGAGAATTGATGAGTGAATAGAAAAGGGGAACATTGTGTTCTACGTGTGTATAAGCAAGTCCGTAGTGCGTGTTTATCATACTATCGTGTCGGAGAGAAGGCCATTAGAGCGTCTTGAAGTCACAATGTCTAAGAAAAGGCCCTGAGAGCGTCTGTTAGTCACACCTATCGTGTGTAGTCGAAGGCCCTGAGTGTGCGATTACTCACAACCGAATAGACAAAAACCGCGATCGTTCATCATTGGTGCTTTCGTTGAGAGGTGTTGATCAAAGTTTTTGTCTATCTATCTTTTTCTTTTTTTTCGGTTTGCCTTTTGCTGAGGGGCCGAATTTCTTTTTCTTTTGTTTGAATTTTTGGTTCCATTTTTCCTTCTTTTTTTGATTTTTTCGTGAGTTTGTCGAGAGTAAAAAAAAAAGTGTCATCCTAGTAGTCTTGTTATTTTACATAGATTCTTAAAAAAAAAGAGTCATGATGTTGCCATTAGATGAGTTGGATTTGGAAGATCTTGAGTATCTCGAAGGTTTGGAAAGGGAGTTAACCGCATGGGAGCAAGAGTATTTGGAGGAGCTTCACGAACGAAGAGATTGGGAGGAGCACGAACAACAACTCGTGGAAGCCAGGGAAGCTGAGGTGGCCAACGTTCAGAACAATGGTGATGAAGGTGCGTTAAATTTCATTATCCTTGAGGACAAGGAAAATCTTGAAGAGGAGGGGAATAATACGAAAGTGGTTATTATCCCCAGTGAGTCAAGTGATGGGATGGTTGAGGGTCTCGATTTGTGGTTAGAAAATATGCTAGAGGAGCCATCTAGTCCGATTTACCGACCATCATGTGTGAGAGATTGGCCAAAAGGATGTGGTCCAAGGTCGAAGCTGAAGGCTAGGAAATGCAAGGCCAAGAGACGACGGAAGACGAAGGCTAAAAAGGCGAGTCATTGTTGCGGGCCTTGTGCGAGGAAGAAGCGGGCATGGAAGATGGAGGCTCGAAGACGAGCTAAGCAAAGGATGGAGGACGATTGGATATGGCGTGCAGGATATTGCACTGGGTCGGAAGGATGGGACCCATGGGACAAGCCACGACCATCGGGCGAGCCAACGTGGTCTAGCAGCAACAAAGTGGTCGACGGAGATTGGCTAATGGGTGAATGGCGCGCATCGGCCCATGATGCGCGTGGTTGGACGGAGCAGGCTACACGTAAGTGCACGGCGAGCGAGCAGGCCACGGGGACTGGCGGCACGAGCGGAGCAGCTGGTGCACGCGGGTGCGCGGTAGGTGATTTGGGCACGGTTGTCGATGGTACGCGCGAGCTGGCAGACGAACGCGAGAAGGGTGCGGGGGCATCGAGCGTGGGCAGCAACCGCAGAGGTGGCTGGGACGCAATAGCAGAGCGCGCGCATGGGCGCGCGAGTCGAGTACCAACGCGGGTGGAGACCTAAGCCTCGCAGGCTTAGGAATGCTAGACACGCACGCGCGAAGGGAAGGCGGCGGATGTCGGGCACGAGAGATGACGAGCGCGTGCGGGGCAGATGAACGAAGCCTAGTCCACGCGGGACTAGGCGAGGCGGAGGCGGTAGGCACATGCGTGCGGGACAAGGCGCGCGATGCCTCGAGCGCCAAGGAATAGGAGAGCGGACGGGAGGTGCACGTTTGGGTGGCGCGTAAGAGGCGGTTCGTGTGAGGCGGCTAGGGGTATTTATGCGTATAACTTGAGCTTCAAGTAAATTGGAGTGCAAGTCAAGTATTTTTAGTTATAGTAATATTAGGATTTTATTGCTTTCTAGTATTATGATTTCTATTATTGCAAGATTTGGGAGATCTAGTTTAATTAGGCTTAGATTTAATTCTGCACCTATAAATACGCATGTACCTCTTCATTATTGAACATGTTGAGAATTGATGAGTGAATAGAAAAGAGGAACATTGTGTTCTACGTGTGTATAAGCAAGTCCGTAGTGCGTGTTTATCATACTATCGTGTCGGAGAGAAGGCCATTAGAGCGTCTTGAAGTCACAATGTCTAAGAGAAGGCCCTGAGAGCGTCTGTTAGTCACACCTATCGTGTGTAGTCGAAGTCCCTGAGTGCGCGATGACTCATAACTGAATAGACAAAAACCGCGATCGTTTATCACGGTGCTGGGTGCGCGGGCGCGCTACTGGGAGCTACAGGGCACTGTCGGGTGTTGGGTTCTATTAGGAACGTCGACAATGTGCACATTCAAATCTATTGAATAATAAATCCTAATGCAGCGGAATCTATAGTTAGGATTAGGACTTACGATTTAAAAATTTTTGCCGACTCTGAGACGTTTCTGATTTCCGTTAATGGAGATCGTCTGAACACCAAAGTCTAATTGGCAGCTAGACTTGGCCTTTCTCGATTCTAATCGAATCACCATGGTGCTCCAATTGCTCATCAAGCTCATCGGATCGTCTCGGACCTTCGGTGAGTAAGTCGGACTGCTCGGGAACCATCTTGGACTCGAACCGGAGCTACTGGATCCACCTGAACTGGGTTGTACCATGCTGCCACGCTGCTGGGCCGATCTGGAGTGTGATGGACCATTCTGAAGCTTTCTGGACAACCTGGTAGCTGCTGGACTCGAGCTGAGCTGCTAGACCGCACGCTGGGCCGCTTGGACTGCATCTGGGCCGCGCAAGAGAGTATCTGGGCCAGGACTCTGCTACCTGGGCTATGCTGGAGCATTTGGGCCGCGGACGCACTGCAATTGGGCCAAGGAAACACGCTGCAGAACTGGGCCATCAAGCGGGCTGGGATCGGGCTTGGCATGGGCGGGACTCAATGGGAAGCGCGGGCCGCGCACGGCCGTATGCGGACCAGAAAGCCTGCGCAGTGGAACCAAAAAAAATATCCTATTTCCGCAAGGAGAAGGATCGAACCCGCGACCTCGCACGGAGAAGACAGCGCCGCACACCATTGCGCTACACACGGTGTTGCGCCAATTTATCGCGGACGATGGATAAAGAACCTGAACGCTTGCTGAAGACCTGGGCACGAACTGAATGCGTGAACTGTACCTGGGCGCAAGAAATTTGACCGAAAGCTAGGAAATATATTTATTCGACGAGATACGAAATAACAACCTTTGAACTTCTATTGTATGACCTTTACACAATCTCTAATAAATCTTGGTGGAGCGATTTATTAGATTTCCCAAAACCTCTTGATCATCTTCTTCTAAGACCTTAAGGTGCTAACCGAATTTTCTCTCGAAGAAGAATTTCTCTCTTTCTTTCTCGCTTGAAGAGGCCGAATTTCTCCAGCCTTTCAGGGAGAAAAAAACGTGTAAAGCATGTTTAAGAGGTTTGGGGACCTAGTGTATTTATAGGCTACAATAGGGACCTAAAGGAGGTGCTAAATATCGGCTTATTCCTTTAGGTTTAGGAATCCTTATTATCTTCCATCTCCTTTTCCCATCTAGGATAATATTCCTAATAATTACCTTCTAGAAGACTCCATAGTCTCCTAACCCTAGGTAATATTCTAGAAGGAATATTCCTATCCTTAGGGAATTATGGAATATAATAAATTCCTAATTTAGGAAACCTAATTCTACTCCAATTAATAATCTAATGTAGAAAATATATCTCCTACTACTCTTCATCTTCTAAAAGACTCCTTAGTCTCCTAATTCCTAGAAAATATCCTAGTAGGAATATTATTTTTCTAATTAAATTAATTAATATGGAATAAAATTAATTCCTAATTCCTAATCTTGGAATTAAATAATAAAACATCCCACTAGAGTAATATTATTGCTCTCCCCATTTAGCTCCGAATTACAATTAATTCGTTTCCACTGATTAAATATATTAATCCAATTGATCGATTTATCTCCCCATGTTTAAGATATAACGTCCATTGATTAATTAAATTACTGACAAAATAATTAATCAACTTGTTATTCATTTCCGAAACTAGTACCACTCAGATCCTTAATCATTATGCCGGATAACACATCCGCCTGCAGGTCTTGACATAATATTCCTTCCTGAGCTCATTTCGGGGACGTCATCAACCCAGCGCACTGGGACACAGTGACCGTAAATAATTTATAACGGCACATCTTGTAAACACACTTATTTACCAAAATACCGAGTATGTCATCCTAGCAAAATAGGAATCACCCTTGATAAATCAAATAAATAACTAATGAATACATATGCCCATTTTATATTATCTTACAGCTTAAGAGTACGCATCAATTACTGAAGGTCTAGATTACAACAACGGTCAGTGAGTCTCATAATCTTATCCTTCCGTGGTCCTGTTCAACATTTAACATAAGTGCTAGTGTAATCCTTCAGTCAAAGACCAACTGAATCAAGAATACACTACAGTCTTTTTCCAAGTGGGGTCTCACTGCCAGTCTAGACTGTGAACGAATAGTTTAGTCTAATAAGGAACCGATAGGCGATCTTTCTGTTCGAAACTCTTCGAACCACACTACCTCAATATAAAACATAGAGTATGATTGCATAAATAAATAAAGTGCAAGCATATGTACTTTGACCGAAACATGATGGCCAGATCAAAATGGAATTGATAGAATCTGTAAATAGGAGCTTTTACAGCATACCTCTAACAATCTTTCACTTATGCTTAATAAGCTCATGGCTATTGCTAACCACGATTCTCTTTCAATCTCAATTCTCAAAGAACTGTTGCCCTTTCTGCCATACATCTGACTCCCAATCCTTTAACATGGCCATCATCCGCTTTCGCTGGAAAGCCAATCCTAAAAGGATTTACCTGGTTGTCTACCGATGTAACTAGGCGACAAACATCCACCTTATCACAGTCCTTTGCAACGGGCGTACTTGCTCTATGTGTCACTTGCTTTATGAACTAGTGATTCCTCTCTGTCTGTAACTGCACCAACTGTCATCACAAACAAATTGTGACCTGACCTGGCTAGACGAGGTTTCACATTTTTAGTTCAATGGCGAAACCAATCTCTACGTCACTCGCCATTTGGGAAGGGACGTACTGAGTTCATAGTGGAATCCGTCAACGCATCACCGCTTGACATTCCTCTAATCTACTTGGTTCCCACAAGTGAACACAAACCATAAGGTGGTTTTTACTTGTTGTTCATGTCTGATTAGAAATCAGAATCCTTTGTAATCCAAAGGTTGCTTATGGTTCATCTGGTAACCTTACATATTATCCTTAGCCCTTTTACGGTGCTTGATCTTATGTCCTAACCATTGCTCCCATCTAGGATTACTTTGATATTTACTAACCATGCAAATAAATATCAGGCCTCATCTATTGCATATACTAGGCTTCCGCTTGCCATGCATAAGGACTGCCTCTGTATCATGCAAAAAAATGATCCTTATGACAGTCTGTACATGAAAATTGGGATAATCGCAACATATCTTTCTTTTGATGCTCAATCTCAAGAATATCTGTTGATTCTGAATCTTTCATGTACCACTACTAGGATAATCATACCCTTGCGTTTGTCAACATTTTCACACTGTCTCCAGTGATCAAGATGTTGTCTACGCATAGTACAAAAATACTACCACGCTTCCATTGCGCCACACACAATGCTCATTTGGTGAATAATCAAATCCATGATTCGAACTTATCAACCAAATGATCGGCCCACCACAGTTCTTTAAATGGACTTTGTCAGCCTACTGACAATATGCTTTTTAGCTCTTTTCCAATGAACATTTCTGGGTGCTGCTCTGTGGATATTCCTACAAGACTTCCGGTTAAGGAAAATGTCTTGACATCCACTTTGCCTAACTCATAACGCATATGAATGGCATCAGCTTTAAATTAGGCAATCGGTGAAATAATTAACTCATAACAGATCCCATTCTTTTAGTGTTCACCATTTCACATCAAGCCTTTATATGTACAGACTTAAACACGGCTACTGGTGAAAAGCTAACTCATAATAGATCCCATTCTTTCTGAGTCTGCTATTTCACAACAAGCCTTGTACCAAAGTCTTCACTTATAGATTTCGTCCAATAGCAAGTTTGCTACTTGGTAATTCTATAAGAACCCAGATCTGATAAGAGTCCATGACCCTAAATCAGGAATCATTAAAACTTTGCTAAGTTTATGCATCCTTGTCTTAGATCTCCTCATTGTATAACTAGGGATCGATTCAAGTTTACTAGAGACTAAGTCCGAGACTTTCTCAAAACATGAATTCCATGAACTTGTGATTAATACAGACTGAGTCCAACGACTCTCTTATTGTCACGAATGGAGTTGTCTTGCAACCCTCCTGTAACACCCCACTTTGATTTTACAGAAATTTCGAATTTTCCAAAAAAACCAGTATAAAATTTTCAAAATCATTTTCGAAAACTTAGTGGGTGTTAACTAACATTTTCATAACCCAAGTCTTATCTGGGCCTACGGGGATTCATTACCCGGTTTTTCACAAGCGGTTTTCATCAACCAACACAAACTCATGAATAAATAGTCAAACATCAATCCCAAAACTACAAGGGTTCGAAAGATTCAAAATCCTCACACCAAGTTTGAAAATAGTTTGCACAAAACATAACGTGCAACAAATTTATTCAAGCTCAACGGAAGCCATAATAATGCATAAATAGACCGACCAACTCGTCCTTCCTCGTCA